TCTTTAAGGAGGATGCATTTAGCAGCAGATGTAGCTCCACTTCATTGCCATGTACTATATGCCACATCCCAAAATTTGAAGGAAATTGAACAAAGTAGATCTAAGAAACCTAAGTGGACCATGGAATCACAGAGATTTATGGAAATCATCCTCTTCACAGACACTGAAAGACCTCTTTACAGGCCTGAAAGAAAAACTAAATAAAAAAATCCTTCTTCCACGGTTTCCTGACAAGAAAACAGTTGCATGATTCCAGGATGAAAGAAAGCCAAGGCACTTAACTTTCTCACAACTACAAAGGGGCTGGAGGTAAGCACTAGAATGGATTTAGATCAATTCAATAAACGGTGTCTTCAAGCAGTAATACTCATGAAAACTAATTCATTTCCCAGGGATGGCAGGAGGTCACAACTTGGTATTTTGTAACACAAACACCTGCTCTCTTCAGCCTCTCAATGGAAGGTCTTTCTTACACCTAGTAATTATCCAGTGTATTTGTCTGAATACTTCTAAGAGTCTTTGAAAAGATACTCATATTATGATTTATATTATGATTTTCTATTCAATATTTCATATGCAGCTGGATCTGGGATCAAATCACATTGACATTTGTTTAGAACAGGACAGAAAAATTACTTAGTAGCTTAGGGGGGAAATAAAGGAGTGCTCTTGTGTTGAACTTTCACTAGTTTCAGAGGAAATTACAAGACAGTCACTCTCCTCTGGTTCACGTCACTAAAAAAAAAAAAAAAATCTCCTCCCAGGAGTAGTTCAGGAAGCAAATGGGAGAGAAGTAACTTCTCTGCAGAAGAGAAGCTTTTTTTAGAGCCTTAATTGTACAAATGCTGTTAAGAGTTTTTTTTTTTTTTTTTCATTCTGCCCCTTGACCATAGGGCTAAACATTTTTGAATTGAAAAAGCAAGAGTGTCAACATCGGTGACTCCAGCTGCAGGTTACACACAGCTTTTGGGATGCATTTGGTAGAGATGTTAGTGAAGGTAATGTAACTTTTTAACTGAAAAATTATGAGCATTCCTAACTATTTCTATTTCCTCAGTTCATTGCCTTCTAACAGTAAACTTGTGGCAGATAACACGCTATTCCTGTATCTGGAACTGCTATCAAGTAATATTTTACCAAGCAAAGAGACAAAACTTCGTCCTCCCTAAAAAATCCAAAAAAGTATGAACAGATGCAGCTTGCAGTCTGGCACAGAATACAGCACACAGCACATGACAATGTTTGGAAAGAAAAGCCCACAGTTCCCTTTTTACCTCACCAAGACAAGATGTACAAATAGCTATAATCTCCTCCCTATTTTGGGAACCAATAAAACAACTGCTAATGCACATGCTATCATAAAACATTTAACAGTAAAGTGTACCCATTTGGCTTTCCCTAGAATTCTGAATTTTTGGACTTTGTGCCAAATCATTTATATAATTTCTTAGTTCAGGCACATTGAGATGCTTCCTACCTTCTGAAATATCACTCTGCTGCTCAGATTGAGTACAGTTCTCTCCCTTCCTTTCCCTCCCCGCAACTAACATGAAGCAGATGGAAAATTCTTTATACTGGCGGCTTTCAGAGAATCATTTGCTCCTTCAAATCCCAATCACTGATCCCAATGAGGTTCTTACAAATGTGATATATTGACTGGACTCTGCTACAAAAACTGCTATATCCAAATTAGTTAGCACTTACTAACAGTTAGGTAGTGCCTTTCTCTCTCTCTCTCTCTCTCTCTCTCTCTCTAGGTAGAACGTGAAGGACTGTTTTGGATTTATTTTTAAGTATCATATGCAATACCTGATAACTGATATTGGAAGGGTGAATATGTGCAGAGTGCCTTTCAGGATCACCCTTTACAATATAAAGTTGTTAGTCCTGAGCCAAGCTTGATTTTGTGCATCACACACTGCCAGACAAATGATCAACACAGAGGAAACAACGTCTTGGCACTTAAGCAAGAGAGTCCACAATACAAAGTACAGGCAGTTAACTAGTTTTCTCATGCTTCCTTCACCTAGCTGTAAAATACAGCCTTAAATGAATATTGTGAACTCTTAGGCACTGCTGTTTGTGTGTGTGTTATCACACTAGATCACTGCAGTGACACGGATTTCTTGGCAGAGCTGTAATGAGAAGTAATCAAAAGATATTTTGGGGGAAAATAATTCAACCTCAAAGATCAGTATTGGAGGAAGAATACTGGAAAGCTCAGTTTCTAAAATATGTTTTCCTACTCATTGTTTTCTTATTTATTCTCTTCTGGCATTATTAGCTACTTATATCCATATTGAAGATTAAAAAAATAACAACACCACTCTTCCGGAAACACATCCAAGTATGGAGTTATGGATAAATCAAAATTTAATTGTTTTAGTATGTGAACTTGCTAAACTTCACATACAAGAAGTATATACAAGAAGGAAGAAGCTGTATGCAAAAGGAATATATTCCCCAATCACTGTGAGCCAATCAAGCTGCCTTAATAAAAAAGAAAATCCCCACCGAGCTACAGGCTGAAAAGCTATTTTGAATTACAATGTGGCCATCTACTTGGTCTCCTACCTTTGCTACAACACAGCCACATAAAGTATTATTCTGTACTGCTGAAAGCCTTTTCTACTGCATTATGTTAACTCAGCTGAGCTTCAGCCAGTGTCGGAGAAGAATCAGACTTTGTGCCTCCTGACAGATGACAAGGCTTTCTACCAAGAGCAAGCCCAAAGAAGTCGCACAGCATGCCAGGTACAACGCATCTGCAGAAAGCGAGCCCCTCATTGGGGATATAAAAGCTCTGGTTAAGGAAGCACACTAACTTGCTTCTGCTTGATCTGCTAGCCAGCTTGACAGTAACAGATAGCTGGCTGCATTAGTGTCAATGTTCAGATAAGTTTCTCTCCGTATCTGTCACAAAAAACAGACATCGTATCAGTGCGCCAGCTCTATTATCACCCACTACGTAGTTGATCATATTTAATAACGTCCCCAAGCGCAGACTAGGCTACCAAGAACCGCAGACTGTGACTCCTACGGCGAGTCACCGAGTCACCCAGACCATGCAGGGCCGCTCAGTGAGCGGCTGCCTCGCACCTTCTCTTCCTCCAGGACGTTAACTTGCCCCTGTGTAGGGCCAGAGCTTGTTATCAAACTCTTAACAGGATCACTGAAAGAAAAGAGGGGAAAAAGCCATAAATGATCCTCTGGACTGTTTCCAGAGTGGCGTTATTTGCTTAGCAATTGCATTGGAAGCAAGCCAAAAAAAATGGGGAAGTGTTCTTGCAAATGAACACACTACTATTCTCAAGTACAAGATATCATTTAATTCCTTTGTCAACATCAGTGTGGCTAGAAATTACAGAGCCTGTTTAATCAACAATTTGCTTGAATTCCTGTTACCAAACCCTAATTTCTTCTGTCTCACCCCACCCTCGCCACCCACATTCCGTCCAACACATCACAAAGTTTAAAAATAAATAAATGTTTCTTTTTGAAGAGTTTCTCACCTCTCCTCTGTCAAAAGTCAAATGAAATTAGTTCTATAATTATAAAAATCAAGTCTAGATTTGCAATCAAGAGTAAGCAAGAAAGAGGGGGAAAAAAGTCAGCAGTTACTCAAGAAATGAATTGAAAATGTCAAAACAGGCCTTACTGAGAAATAATTAAATATTTTTAACAGAGCCTTAACACAGTCTACTGAACTGCTTTGTGTGGGCACTTTTTTTTTTGCATCAGGATTACTCCTAATGAGACGAACCTCTGCAGCGTGCAAGCCTTCATCCTTTCCAACGTAACCGAGATTTGTGAAAGGCTACAGAGAGCTCAAAACAGCTCCACTCACTTTACCTTATACCAAATTTCCTCATAGCAACCCATCAGGAATATGATCAGGGATTTTTTTTTTCTTTGTATTTTTCCCCTAAGGATATTTTATTCATAACAAGCCATAAGTTCTCTCTCTTTCTTTCTGTGAGTGACCCTAATCCTGCACAGACTTTGAAGTCTTCACACAGCCATTTCAAACCCAGTGGCTGCTGTCAGGTTTGGTTTTGAGATTTGGCAGGTTTCTCCTCTTCACAGATTAGTGTTTTCCTCCCCTCTCTCCAAGTTTTCTGACTTTAAAATGACACCGCTCAACAAAAATAAATACTTCTATCTCATGCCAAAAATACAATGATACATAATTTATGTTAAATGAATATGAGAACGTAAGTTTCTACCAAATTGCCTATTTTCTTGATTTTACTTTAAGCAAAGACAATGAAATATCTCACAGCGCTAGTGACAGCAGCACTAAGGGCAAGTATTCTAAAGCTATGTGCAATTGGATCAGTCTGAATTCAAAAGCCTCCGATCTGCTCATATTTAAAATGAAGCACTGTGAGTGTCTGACAAGCCAAAGGTTTAGAGTTAATTTTCTATAGAAAGATACCATAGAACAAAAAGCATACCTTGCTTTGGTAACTTGATATTCTGTTTGGAAGATCTAAAATGAAGCTCTTCTCCCCAAAACTGTATATACTGTGTAACTCAGTTTTTATTACATGTACATTCTTACCACTAGAAAGAAACCATACTCATGCTAAGTTTACCTCCTCAGTTTTAGTTTCCTTATAATTCTACCAGAGAATATATGAAGGAAGAATTTGTTTAAATATTCATATTGAAGAATATTAATAGTGTGTTCCATAACAGATATGATTTGCTTAACATTACCCCATCTTAACCTTTTTACAGTGTTAGTCCTGAATCTGTTATACTTCATACAACTTTTGCTCTATTTTTTTGACTTCTTCAACTTTAGAAACCCTGTAAGCAGCTGCTGATGTCCATGTTCAGAAAAGCTGACTGCTTTAGATTATCCACTGTGAAGTTTACAGATCGAGGGTCTAAAAGCAGACCAAAAGCATGTATGCCTGGGGAAGGAAAACGGGCATAGATGGTAGAACATAATCTATAGTGCAGATACTACAAGAATTTGCTTGTTTACTTACGTTCGCACGTGTCTCCTTTCTGCTGGTATCCTGCCTTGCAGATACACTTTCCAATAGGCACTAACCATTCTCCCTCCGCACTGCAGTGCATCTTCGGAGAGTTCTCAGCCTCCTCTTCTGCACTGCTGACGCAAGTGCCTCGTACTTCAACTAAAGAGGAAAACTCTGAGCCAGTCACTGTATCAGGAAAAATAGCTAAGTTCTCAATGATGGACCAGCACTTCTTGTAGTAGACTTTGACAGAGACCAAAGCAATGCAGGCCCCTACATCCTGGAATGCAAGATAGAATCCTTTTTTGGACAAAGGTCCAATTTCTCTCACTTCTGTGTTAAGTTTCATTTTTCTCTCCCCAAGATCACCCTGGGTAAAACTTTCATCTGCTGCAATAGTGTCTATTTTTACATACAGGTTTTCTCGGATATTCCTGCCAGTGTCGTAGTCTGTTTCATAATAATACAAGTTAAAAGTTTCTTTACAAGTCCCCAGAACTCCAGGAAGACTGTTACAATCCCTCAGAGTGAATTTCAGTTCTACAAAAATCCTTTGTGCATTGCTTTTTGCAATCCAGTTAGTCCGAAGCCAGTTGTTTTGGTTAGGTTCCATGACCTGGCATACCTGGTATGTTCGTATAGGAGTGTAGTTTTCATCCAGTCCACTAATTTCTTCCCACTAAAACAATAACAAAAAATTAGTAATACAAAACAAGCATGCCACAAAATGTAACTAACGCATATTTGAAAAGACTCCACAAAATTCCTTTTTAAACAGTAATGCTTGGTAGAAAACAGATTATTAAAATATTTCTACACATCCTTTTCATCATTTGATGAAAATAGATTTTAGCACAGCTTCAAGAGCTCCTTCCCTCCTTCCACATCTTTTCATATTTATATAACCTTTAAAAAAAACATTTCCATGTCATGTGCACAATTCTGAAGTATAAGTTTCAGAAAAGGCTGTCCAAAATATCAAGTTGTGGTTTCACATTAGGCTCACCCATATTTTGTTAAGACTGTGGGGAAGCAAAGACCAAGAGGAGGGCAATGTTGTTTCCAGAGAAATTTAAAATCAGCAAAGCCTTGCAAGACTGAATCTGTCTAGCTTGTTTGTCTATGTATACAAAACACCCAGTGGAACTTTAGTTCTACCCCATATATATACATATATGTGTATATATATATATATATATACACACACACACACATATATATACACACACAATAAATGATGAAAGTGACATACAGAAAATTTTCATCTTTTCCTTTTCATTCACTCCACGTGATACTCTGCTCTGACCGCAAGTAAAGAACTTAACCAGAACCTCCTTATCCCACATTTTGTTCAGTGGCTACATCTATGTTAAAAGCATCAAATTTCATTTAGTTGGGAGTTCAAATGAAGACCACAAAATTAAATACTTTTGAATAATCCATGTGATTTTAAAGTTTACTGGTTTAAAGCCTGCTTATAATTGTTGTTGCTTTGGGATAGCAACTATATAAAACTGGTGCATAACAATCCTGTCACCTTTGAACATAATTTGGCAATGCCGGAATTTGCACCTCAGACAATGTCTAAGCTACCACCGGAATCAGTTGGGCAAAACTAAACAGGTGTAGCTAAGAAAATATCTGTCTCATCTTTTTCCATATTTCTTGTAACATTTAATTCATAGCAGAAACTGCAGCTGTAATAAATTAGGGATCCTTCAGAGTTATCCTTTACCCAATGATACAGGCAACCATGACTTCTCCATAAGGCACTTAGCCCTCTGGCCCCGAGTCAATAATGCACTTAAACTCACGCTTAAGATCAATGGCAGTACTTAGGAGCTTAATGGTAAGCATGTGCTTAAATGATTTGGGGGGCCAGCAAGCCCTGGCTGGCTGCAGGACTGAGAGCCCTCTGCCCCTCCACAGGCTGGTATCCCAATGCACAGGGTGCCAGTTTCCCGGAGTAGGAGCCCTGCATCCTGCGGCACGTCGCAGGCCTATCCCACAGCAAAGGAGATCACTGCAACACCGGCCTACGGTCCCAAGAAGCAGCAGACGTGGGTAAGAGGATTCGGGAAGTTATCAGCACAAAACACTATATCACGGCTGCAAACATCGAAACGCACACAAGTTGTAAATATCGAAGTGCATTTCAAAGGCCTACAGTTAATACAGGCATGGTATATAGGTTATTGTGCATACATATGGCATTCAATTATTGAAATATATGGTGAAATGATCATGAAATTAATTGGACTTATTATATATGGAACTGGATTTGTTTCAAAGCAGAAAAAAATCTTCAATATACAACTCCTAGAGCTAAAATGCCAGAATTTCCTCTGACATAAGAACTCCTATTAATAATAATAAAAAGCCCTTGAAAGAGGATTTTGGCCCTGTTAAATTGGAAAAAGTAAACAAACAAAAGGACATAAAAATAGTTATTTATACATCTCTGTTTCATACTGGGCAGTATATATTTTTCCTGCAATCTAGTCTAAGCAATCTTCCCCGTAAGACTAAACCAGATTCTACAAGGAGATACTCCAGTTAGAGGAAGCATGGTACTGTTGCAGTTAAAGTACCCTAATGCATCCCTCAACAAAATCTGAAACTTGGTGCTCTAATGTGGACTGAATTGTGTTCTCCCCACCAAAATTTATCCCTACCTCAAACTCCCTTCCATCTGACCCCCAAAAGGAAAAAAAGAAAAATACTTCAGTCAAAGAAAAGAACATAAAATTATGAAAAATTATAAACTGAGAGCAGTTTGTGTTAACGTAAGCAAAAGAAGCTCTACTTAAATCACTTCTATACCAACCCCAAAAAAGTCTAGCTTCCATATTTTGCCAGAACCAAAGGTGAGTTTCACAGAAATTAAAAAAAAAAAAAAAAAAAAAAAAAAAAAAAAAAAAAAAGGAATTATGACCTATGAGCTAGTTCAGCAATCCCAAGGAAGCCCTTTTAAAGAATTCTGCTTTGCTATATAAAAAAAAGTACTAATATATCAGAATGTTTGCCTACTCCATCCTAGGTCACATTTCATTAAGTCTTTTTATAATGACTAAATTTAATGATAGATTTGTAGAAAAAAATCAACTTTTTTATCATCTTGCTGCTGTGTATCATGATAGATGTGCAATTCACTTTTAATATATCCTGTTCTACTGCTTTGTAGCATGTGACGCATTAATGTCTCAGTTGCTTTACCAATGTTTGATATCACTGCTAGATGTAACATTGGCAGCTGAGCGAAACATGTAACGAGTCTCGGCCTGATCTGTGCTGTGATGAAGTAGTTTCTCTCAAAAATCTCTTCTGTTTCTTCTCACGAAATCTTTATTGCATAGCAAGAAAATGCAATAATTAAGAACAGTGCTTGTTGTTGTTATATTATTAAAACTGTATTTTTGTCACTGTGCAGGCAAATAGTTTTGAACATCCTCACATATACAAATGCCACTAATTTTGTCATTACTTTTGATTTGCTTTTAATCTCTGTTTGAAAGTGGCTTCTGCCTTTGAAAGTCACCTTTTACCATTTGTTGAATTTGACTCTACTTTCATCTCCAAGTATGTTGACATGTGTAACATGCGTTGACACGTCCTTCATTATCTATAGGTTAGCCTAATATAATTGCCACCAAGCTAATCTTTCAAATACCTCTAGTAAAGACTTCAATCAATGCAAAATGCTAATGCCAAAGTTATTAGGCATCATAAGTGTTGAGCTCACATTACATTCTTTCTGAAGTCCCCAGATTCGTTTCCAGTTTATGCTTGTATTGATTTTACGATCTTGCTTTTAAAGAAAGACACTTTCAGATTTTCATTCTTCTTATTTAAAGGATTTGTTACACTCTTATATCCCCACTCACACTTCACGCTCTTCTGGCTCCAGATTTCTTAATGCGCTGAAGATTAAGGGCCTGATCCCCCAAGTCCTTGTTCATGTGGGGAGTTGCAACGGATTCGGGCAAGATTGTTTTCATGAATAAGAACTATTCATGTAATTTATTTTTCAGACTGAGCTCAGGGAGGACAATATATGTACTGTATGTCACTGAAAGAGTCCTTCCCCAAGAGCTGAGGAAGATGTGATTTCCATCGTTTTTAATTTGATATAAGCAATTTTCAGCTTTAATTGCATAAAGACGACAATATTTTTTTTTTCCTAAACTTTTCTCTTTTTAATCATGACATACTTCACAATGGAGTTCATGGAGTACCATAAGTTTAATTGCTAAATAAGCCAAAGGTGGCCTGAAACATACAACTGCAGCCTGGTTTCAGATATCGTGGAGCCTAGTTCCAGACATCGACCTCCTCAAATTGTGGGGATGCGTCAAGTCTGGAATATCATTTCAAACACATCTGCAGCATAAATGTTTATATTTTAGAGCACTTCAATCTGTGCTATTCAATTACAAAGAAAACATCGTAAACAAATTTATGATCATTCATTACACAGAAAGTAAAAAACACTTCTAGGAAGTCTCCACACAAAAGTAAATCTAATGCTTCCAAAGGACGAAGGAAAAAGTGACTTAAGACATTGTGTTATAAATAAAGAGAGCTTTATGGTACAGCACAAAGGACTACGCTACAAAAGAAAGCTGCTGAGAACATTTAGGTGAGTTTCTAAAGAGATTCTTCCTTTTAATTAGCTCACATTTGTGCACTGTAACCTGAGGTACACTACTTACTGTTCTCGCAAAGAAAGCCATAAACACTCGCTAGGATGACAGAGAAATATGAGGAAGAACTAGTTTAAAGCGAGTGTTTCAACTGCTTTTGTGAAACATATACAAGCTTTTTGAATTTAATTTTTTGCACAGAGCACTTACCCCATTGGGAGGAGAGGAAATCCATTCCAACTCTGTCTGTTGTGCTTTAGAGTCCAGCAATATTACTAAAAAAAGAAAAGAAAAAAAAAAAAGATTTCCTCTGTTTGTTAAATATAATAAGCAGAGATATAAAAAACAATTTGTCTAACTTAGAAAAAAACACCTCTTGGTTATGAATTTTTTGTTTTTACGATCACTTTATTTAAAAAAAAATTATCTGCTATCATAACTATTAATTTCCTGAAAGTAAATGATTAAATGATGACCTAACATCCACATATATCCAGACACACTTTAATCTTAAAAATTTCCTTGCTTAAGTGTTTTGTTTATATCGGGTTCCTAGATTTTTAATATTCAGGCATTAAGATCCATGATCCCTTCATCTCCTTTGTTTGAGAAAGGACATTTCTGATGTTCTGATCATTACAAAGAGTTATTAAAAATAAAATTTTAAAAAAAAATCAACACAATTTAATTGATTAGATAGGGTTAGTCCTACTTCTTACCTGACATTCCACTATGAAAGCAACAGTCTTTTTGAGTGAGACAGGAGAGAGGGAAAAAAAAAAAAAAAAAAAAAAAACCTTTAGGTGTTAAACTAGGAGATCCATAAATATATGATAAACAGAATTCCAGAAGATATAAGACTCTGCCATTAGCTCACACAATGCATATTCAAAGTACAACATATACAAAACCAGATTAACTCCCTATATAGCAATGGTTTACTAAAACCTTCGTGTCAATATACCTCAGCGAGACTTCCACAAAGCCATTAACTCCAGTAAAAGTGACATTGTTTGCAGCAATACATAATTCCGCTTCAGAAAACGTTAGGTTAATCATAGCCTAATAAAACAGTGGTTATTTTTTTTTTTTTCATTACATATGGAAAGAAACATTACTGATGTTCTTTTACCTCCAAACATATATATTTTTATAAATGCTTTGTATTTAACTCTAGCTATAATCTTCTTTCCTAGCTATTACTATGAGGTTTTGTAAGACTTTCAAGGGGTACATGTGTCTTTTTAGTCTGACAGGTCCAAAAACTTATGTGAAATAAATTTCTGTAACACACGCTTTCAAACAATCAATGCAGTGATGAGCCATATAACCAAGTTTGGTACATTTGGCATTCACCTTCTTCAGAAATCACATACTTACCCTCATACTTCTACTTGGTTAAATAAAAATGCACATTTTATACTTAAACATATTTAATATATTTTACATATAAAACTATATATAGTGTTATACACGGCATTTAACTATATGTTTAACTATATGTTTCAATGTGACTTTCAATGCTTTAAAGTAATTTTGGAATGGCCATAGGCGGGGGTTAGGCTCTTTGCCCTAGTGGAGGCGAATGCAAAATTTCAGAGATCTACTAGAGATGCCGCATGACTTCAAGATATACACATATACATTTAAAGGCTCATGCAGTAATAGCTAAAACATTAGCTGAAGACAAAGCAGTAGGTTCCAAGTCTATATTTCTGCAATAAAGTGAGGCCAGTCATTAAGGTAACTTGGAAGGCTCACTTTAAAAAAAGATTATGTACTTATTTTATTAACCTTGGATACAGGGCTTTACTCTGTAGCACTTTCTACAGCTAAGCAAGTGGGATGCGCGGCTTATTGAACAAGAACGTTTCTAATAATCTGGGGGAAAAAAAAAAAAAAAGAAAAAAGAAAAAGCGGGGGCAGCAGAAGGTGCCAGGCACATTTAACCGCTTCGGCGCCGGCTCCACGGCCGCCTTCCCGCACAGCTCCCGCCTGGAAGCGGTGCCCAGCAGGCAGCAACGGGCACTCCGGGAGGGAGGCAAATAAGCAAATCA